ATACAACAACCAACATTAGTGAGCTCTTCCTCATGAAAGCTTATTCAGTGCTAATTCAGAGAGTCTATAAGGTACATCTCTACCCTGTGTTCTGCCTATATGTTTAAAGTTACTGTCTACTTTTTACCTTGGGGAGGATAAGAGGACATTCTAAGCCACACTTGCATGTTCCATCAGTCAACAGGTAGGTCTTCACCTGCTCCAAGCAGGATAATAAAGATCCACTGGGACTGTAAAGCAATAGAAAATATACATAAATTAATATTTATAGATGATAGTATCTATATATAGTTTCAACACGTCAAGTGAAAACTAAGTAATTTCAGTTTTTGAACTTTCATTTTGTAGTTTATTTTTCACCAGGAGAGAGATTTTATTTAAAAGAACAGTCCACTCCCCTCCCCCCGCTAACCCCCCCACAAAACCAGAAGAATTGGTTTGTAACAGACCCCAAAATAAATCTGCGAAAGCCAGAGATCTTAATACAAAAACAAAAGGTAACACATGCAGAAAAAAAATCAAAGCAATCAAAATTATAACTATTTAATTTTCACATTACAGTACTGCTCAAAGAGGATCTACACTGCATAAACATTTTAAAACAACTTTTTTCTCCCCAGTTCTATATAATACAATACAGGAGCAGACTGTGACAGCTCCATGGACTCTCTCTGCGAGGCCACCTGGGATCCACACAGATACAGGTGTACTTGCATGGTGTACTTTGAAGGATGAGAACCTCATTTAAGAGCTGTCATCACAGGAACATGCTTCCAGCAGTACAAGATACAGGATGGAAGATCAAGGAAACAGTACATCAAAGAATCTCAACCTGGCACCCCAAGGTGCCCAGAAAACCTTCCAAGGGTGCCGCAGGGTGCCACACAATGTTAGCACTGTCAGGTGTGCAAACATGATTGACATATAAATCCAGAGATTTCAAATAAAATCCATAGCGTTAAAAGCATTCTGACCTATCATGGTCTTTCTGAGGTCTTTGCAACAGAAAAATTACAATTTAAAAATTACAATTTTTCTGTAGTCAAAAACAGAGCAAAAATTAAGAGCTGGCATTTTTCAAAGGCTGCCTTGGGTTTAAAAAGGTTAAGAACTGCTACAGTACATAAATGTATGTAGTTATACAGACCAGTATGTTCATAGCTTAGCTTTGATTCAGCTAAATTTTCACGTGCCTCACTGACTCTGGGAGATATTACATCAAGAACACAGTAAAAGAGGGTCCTGATCCCCTATAACCTTGACAATTACTATGGACTAGAGCCTCAGTAGGACTCTGTGATGCAGATGTTGGGATTCAAAAGTCAGCCGGGATTCAAGACACAAAATTGATGATACATGTAAGATTTTACACTTAAGAACAAAAGGTAAAACCAAGTAGTTTGCATAAGAGAACCCTCACACTATGTACAAACCAACAATTACAGATGACATTAACATTTTCAGTAAAGATTTAAATTATAGGCATGAGGTACATGCTTTGGGGTGAACAGCTTTAGACTGCAAGACTTAGTATGATAGTTTTCTTGTTCTGGGAAGAATTGGACATTATTTCTACCAGAAACCAGTCAAGACAAGACACTGTCATCACTTATTAAGCAAATGTTATCCCTAATTTTGCAACTTGCCTTTAGACCTTCAGCACAAACCAGTCATTTAGGCCTATATCGGATTTTTACAATGTTTGAAGTAAGCAAGCACACAGTAAGAAATTGTTACTCAGGGTATGCCATCACTGCAGTTAATTTGGGGTTACTCAGGTGTTGCCTCCATCCTTCACCTATTAACAAGTAGGATCTTCTCAACCATAGGGATGATTAAAACACAAGCTAGATGGAACAGCTGTAGATAGGTTAGAGCTTGTGTTCTTGTTTCATCTGGACTGGTAAGTCATCCATTTTGCAGTGACAATGCAAGCTAAATCACTTGAGTACTGAGTTCATAGATTCATAGATTCTAGGGTTGGAAGGGACCTCAATAGATCATCGAGTCCGACCCCCTGCAAAGGCAGGAAAAAGTGCTGGGTTCAGATGACCCCAGCTAGATGCCTATCTAACCTCCTCTTGAAGACCCCCAGGGTAGGGGAGAGCACCACCTCCCTTGGGAGCCCGTTCCAGACCTTGGCCGCTCTAACTGTGAAGAAGTTCTTCCTAATGTCTAGTCTAAATCTGCTCTCTGCTAGCTTGCGGCCATTATTTCTTGTAACCCCTGGGGGCACCTTGGTGAATAAAACCTCTCCAATTCCCTTCTGTGCCCCTGTGATGAACTTACAGGCAGCCACAAGGTCACCTCTCAGCCTTCTCTTGCGGAGGCTGAAGAGGTCCAGGTGCCCCAGTCTCTCTTCATAGGGCTTGGCCTGCAAGTCCTTAACCATACGTGTGGCCCTTCTCTGGACCTTCTCCAGGTTATCCACATCTCTGTTGAAGTGCGGTGCCCAAAATTGCATGCAGTATTCCAACTGCGGTCTGACCAGCGCCCGATAGAGGGGAAGTATCACCTCCTTGGTTCTGCTTGTCATGCATCTGCTGATGCACGATAAAGTGCCATTAGCTTTTCTGATGGCTTCGTCACACTGACGACTCATGTTCATCTTGGAGTCCACTAGGACTCCAAGATCCCTTTCCGCTTCCGTTCCACCCAGCAGGTCATTCCCTAGGCTGTAGGTGTGCTGGACATTTTTCCTCCCTAGGTGCAGCACTTTGCATTTCTCCTTGTTGAACTGCATTCTGTTGTTTTCTGCCCACTT